TCTGTTTTATTAGCTTTGGTTACGAACAATACGCTAATGTCGTTAGTAGTAGAATGTAGAAATGCGTGTTTTGTCGTTACGAAAAGTTTACTTAAGCCCTCTTACAAAAAAAGCAACAACAACGCCAGCAAAACTTTGGTACATGCAAAAATGAGAAGTGCATAGTAAGCAACGTTTATAGATAACAAGAATTGGTAGCAATATTTTCAAGGGTTATGATTTCTCTGCATTATTTTAAAGTATTAAGATAAACAACATATCACTTATTATATATCATTGGATAGGTAATGAAGTCTAGTTTTTAATGATGTTACTGGTTTTCTAATAGTAAGTAATTTGATTAACAAAAAGTAGTATTAAATAAATTTAAAATTTTTGGATAATTACACTTTAGGTTTCTCAAAGTGTAGCGACTCTGAAACTAGAACAGGACTAGAACATAACTGGAACTGAACTAGAACATAATTGGAAGTGATATTTTTATTTTTAATGAACTTAATGTTTTGAGTGTATACATATCTTAACAAACACTATATTAGCACCTTACTAACACATACATTTACAAATATATATTAAAAAAATAACAGAAAAAACGGCTCAAATGGAACATTAGAGTATTAGATTTTTATAACTTTTTTTTGGAAAAACGAAAAATTGGTAACAACTAACACGCATAGTTAAGGTAACTGCAGTTTAGAACTTGTACTCAAAACAGCCTACAGCCTTAACATATGAAGTACAACGAGAAAATTTCTTAAAACTAATGCACTAATTTTGCTGTCGTCTAGCTAATTCAAATTCAAAATTATAACAAGGACACCAAGACACTGGAGTTACTTTTGGCATTTGTAAATTTCTTTTAAGTTTAAGGAGGCTTAAAATAAGAAATAAGTGAGTTTATAAAGACATAATCCACATTTTATATATTAGAGGAAGTTGAAACGTCGATTTTAAGACGTAAAGCCATTCAATTAGATCATCTGTCCAAAAACAAAATTTCCTTCAGTGTTCTAAACTGGATAACAAACAAAAAATTTACATACCGCCAACTAAACAATTCAAAGACAAGAAACAGCAGAAAAAAAATAGTTTTATTGAAAAATCTTACGAAAAAAACAAACAACAATAAAAAGCAAAGTGATCTCCGCTGTTTTTCGTAAAACGCACATAAGTAAATCAACTTTAAAAGTCACAAAATATTGTGCATATAAACTGCATTAACAGCGACGTACTGCAATGTTTTTGTTTTTCTTAATTTTTTTTTTTTTCTGGCGACTGATGACGATGACGGCAACGCAACGAAGGTGGGGCACTTTAAGCCAAACTGTATAATGCTCCCAAAAAGCGAAAAAAGAATAACAAAAAAAGCTGAAACATTACGATCGATATAAGCAACTAAAACTAAATTGTTTTTGTTTTTTTTTTCACTTAGCTGTTACGCATAAGTATTCGTGATTTGGCTGTGATCAACAGACAACACACGATCTTGTAGCTCACGTTGTTTGTTTGGCTTGTTGGTATGGGATGCTGCTGGCTGGTGTGGCACTATGGTTATAGCCGGAAAATAAACTTTTATGTGATCAAAGTGATCAAAGATTTAATTCTTTTTGCCTGTTCTAGATATTTTCTAATTCTGTTCTAGTTCTGTTCTAGTTCTGTTCTAGTTCTGTTCTAGTTCTGTTCTAGTTCTGTTCTAGTTTTGATCTAGCTCTGTTCTAGTTCTGTTCTAGGTCTGTTCTAGTTCTGTTCTAGTTCTGTTCTAGTTCTGTTCTAGTTCTGTTCTAGTTCTGTTCTAGTTCTGTTCTAGTTCTGTTCTAGTTCTGTTCTAGTTCTGTTCTAGTTCTGTTCTAGTTCTGTTCTAGTTCTGTTCTAGTTCTGTTCTAGTTCTGTTCTAGTTCTGTTCTAGTTCTGTTCTAGTTCTGTTCTAGTTCTGTTCTAGTTCTGTTCTAGTTCTGTTCTAGTTCTGTTCTAGTTCTGTTCTAGTTCTGTTCTAGTTCTGTTCTAGTTCTGTTTCTAGTTCTGTTCTAGTTCTGTTCTAGTTTTGATCTAGTTCTGTTCTAGTTCTGTTCTAGTTCTGTTCTAGTTCTGTTCTAGTTCTGTTCTAGTTCTGTTCTAGTTCTGTTCTAGTTCTGTTCTAGTTCTGTTCTAGTTCTGTTCTAGTTCTGTTCTAGTTCTGTTCTAGTTCTGTTCCTAGTTCTGTTCTAGTTCTGTTCTAGTTCTGTTCTAGTTCTGTTCTAGTTCTGTTCTAGTTCTGTTCTAGTTCTGTTCTAGTTCTGTTCTAGTTCTGTTCTAGTTCTGTTCTAGTTCTGTTCTAGTTCTAGTTTTGTTCTAGTTTTGTTCTAGTTTTGTTCTAGTTTTCTTCTAGTTTGTTCTAGTTCTGTTCTAGTTCTGTTCTAGTTCTGTTTTAGTTCTGTTCTAGTTCTGTTCTAGTTCTGTTCTAGTTCTGTTCTAGTTCTGTTCTAGTTCTGTTCTAGTTCTGTTCTAGTTCTGTTCTAGTTCTGTTCTAGTTCTGTTCTAGTTCTGTTCTAGTTCTGTTCTAGTTCTGTTCTAGTTCTAGTTTGTTCTAGTTTTGTTCTAGTTTTCTTCTAGTTTTGTTCTAGTTCTGTTCTAGTTCTGTTCTAGTTCTGTTCTAGTTCTGTTCTAGTTCTGTTCTAGTTCTGTTCTAGTTCTGTTCTAGTTCTGTTCTAGTTTGTTCTAGTTCTGTTCTAGTTCTGTTCTAGTTCTGTTCTAGTTCTGTTCTAGTTCTGTTCTAGTTCTGTTCTAGTTCTGTTCTAGTTCTGTTCTAGTTCTGTTCTAGTTCTGTTCTAGTTCTGTTTTAGTTCTGTTCTAGTTCTGTTCTAGTTCTGTTCTATTTCTGTTCTAGTTCTGTTCTAGTTCGGTTCTAGTTCTGTTCTAGTTCTGTTCTAGTTCTGTTCTAGTTCTGTTCTAGTTCTGTTCTAGTTCTGTTCTAGTTCTGTTATAGTTCTGTTATAGTTCTGTTCTAGTTCTGTTCTAGTTCTGTTCTAGTTCTGTTCTAGTTCTGTTCTAGTTCTGTTCTAGTTCTAGTTCTGTTCTAGTTCTGTTTAGTTCTGTTTCTAGTTCTGTTCTAGTTCTGTTCTAGTTCTGTTCTAGTTCTGTTCTAGATCTGTACTAGTTCTAGTTTGTTAGTTCTGTTCTAGTCTAGTTCTGTTCTAGTTCTGTTCTAGTTCTGTTTCTAGTTTCTGTTCTAGTTCTGTTCTAGTTCTGTTCTAGTTCTGTTCTAGTTCTGTTCTAGTTCTGTTCTAGTTCTGTTCTAGTTCTAGTTCTGTTCTAGTTCTGTTCTAGTTTCTGTTCTAGTTCTGTTCTAGTTCTGTTCTGTCTGTCTAGTTCTGTTCTAGTTCTGTTCTAGTTCTGTTCTAGTTCTGTTCTAGTTCTGTTCTAGTTCTGTTCTAGTTCTGTTCTAGTTCTGTTCTAGTTCTGTTCTAGTTCTGTTCTAGTTCTGTTCTAGTTCTGTTCTAGTTCTGTCTAGTTCTGTCTAGTTCTGTTCTAGTTTCTGTTCTAGTTCTGTTCTAGTTCTGTTATAGTTTCTGTTCTAGTTCTGTTCTAGTTCTGTTCTAGTTCTGTCTAGTTCTGTTCTAGTTCTGTTCTAGTTCTGTTCTAGTTCTGTTCTGTTCTAGTTCTGTTCTAGTTCTGTTCTAGTTCTGTTCTAGTTCTGTTCTAGTTCTGTTCTAGTTCTGTTCTAGTTCTGTTCTAGTTCTGTTCTAGTTCTGTTCTAGTTCTTTTTGTTCTAGTTTTGTTCTAGTTTGTTCTAGTTTGTTCTAGTTCTGTTCTAGTTCTGTTCTAGTTCTGTTTAGTTCTGTTCTAGTTCTGTTCTAGTTCTGTTCTAGTTCTGTTCTAGTTCTGTTCTAGTTCTGTTTCTAGTTCTGTTCTAGTTCTGTTCTAGTTCTGTTCTAGTTCTGTTCTAGTTCTGTTCTAGTTCTGTTCTAGTTCTGTTCTAGTTCTGTTCTAGTTCTGTTCTAGTTCTGTTCTAGTTCTGTTCTAGTTCTGTTCTAGTTCTGTTCTAGTTCTGTTCTAGTTCTGTTCTAGTTCTGTTCTAGTTCTGTTCTAGTTCTGTTCTAGTTCTGTTCTAGTTCTGTCTAGTTCTGTTCTAGTTCTGTTCTAGTTCTGTTCTAGTTCTGTTCTAGTTCTGTTCTAGTCTGTTCTAGTTCTGTTCTAGTTCTGTTCTAGTTCTGTTCTAGTTCTGTTTCTAGTTCTAATTTGGTTCTAATTTGGTTCTACATTCCCAATTTGAAGTCAATCGTATGTCAATTAATTGTGTCCACTTAATTTAATTCCCCACCCATAGTGCTCTTATTTCTGCGTTGTCAGTATTAGTGTGTAAAATATGTATATTTGCAGCATAACATTCTGTTGTTAGTATTGAATATTAGACACCTTTTTTAGGCCTAAAAATGTTTACTTACTAACAATTTGCAATGAAAGGCTTTATAATTCTATATGATTTTTCAACTAGTTTATTGTTGTTGTTGTTGTTGTTTTTATTTTGAACAATTTTAATCTCTATTTTTTTTTGTTGGTTATTAAAACATGCTCTGATTTCAAAAAAAAAAAAAATTATTGTATATATTAGCAAAACATTTGTATTGAAGAGAATATTAAGAGGAGATTTTGAAAAACAAAAATCAACATACAAATATTGTCGTCAACTTTTCTAATATTTTCAAATGCTGGCACATTCATATTTATTTGAATTTGTAATTGAGTTAGTGTTTGAAACAGTGGCAGCATAAAACTGCAAACGTTTGCTGCTGCAGCAAATGCAGCTGCTATTCGAAAAAAAAAACAGTTTAAAGCTGGAACTAAACTGAAAAATCTGCTCTTTTTTTTGTTTGATTGAAGCTGCGAAAATTTTAATGCGTGTTCGCACACAAAACTTTAGATCAGTTTGTCAAAAGTAAACATTACATATAGTACGCGCTACGAGTCCGTTTGACCGTATATAAACGTTTATAGGGCCTTGCTGGCCATCAGTATCTCGCGGTGCTCTACATCACCGGAGCTCTAGAAAAATTTTGCTTTTTTCAGAAAAATTAACAAAATATTGTTTTATGCTAAAACGGAGCTAAACATTAAAATCTAAGCGTAACGGTTACAAACGCCACAAGAATAAGGATATAGCAGATTTCTTTCTTCAGCAGACACATTTTGGATTATTAATTTAAGGACTTTATAAAATAAAGTGTTTGTGTGTTATGAAGTGATTATTTAATTTTGTTTACAATTATAAAGAATATTTTTCAACACAAAAACTATAGTAATTGTTATTAAAAAAATATCTGATATGAAGGTGAGTCCTGACAAAAAGAAAAGTTAGAAAAGGACAAAATACTATTCAAAACATAAAAAATATAAAACAAAATATTAAAAAAAAATTTGTAACGAAATGCATATGTGTTAAAAGATTTCCAGGATAATAAAACTCTAAATGAAAACTATTAAATTAGTATTCAACTCAATGAACATATTAATTAAATAATAAACAAAACCAAATGTTCTTTTAATCAAGAATTAAAGTGCTTAATTAAAAACCTTCCAAATTTATATTTTAAATTAAATTGTGTTATTCATATTTTTAGTTTCGAGGTCATTATATTTTTTCATTTAACTGATATATCAAGTTATACTTAATACCCCCTTCAATTATGTTAAAAGTTCATCTTGGTTAACCGCTTAAATATTATAGTAAAGTCCTCATATATGCGAAAGTTTTGAACCTAAAATAACAATTTTTCATCTCTTTAATATACTTTTCTTGATATATATTACCAAAAGTGTTTATATTAAATCGGAAAATTCCTTTATATGGAATTATTCATTACAGAGTTATCTTGAGTAATACCGATTTATGAAAATCGAATACTTAAAACAAAAGTTTAAAAAGTAAGAGTAAGCCTAATACCTGCACAGTTTTTTACTATACAGATTAATATTCCAAAATGTAATCTGTATAGGAGGGCTCAAATAAAAGGTAATATGATCGAAATGTCGCCACAATTCTCTAGCGTCTATAGTTTAGAGATTATAACCTTTATAGTAAACAATCCAGTTACCATGTTCTTTCTAGTATAGAGAGTTTCTGCAGTGCATTCTAAGACTATAACCTCTATAGTCCAGAGACTATAGCCCAAAAACCAAAGTTTATTACACTTCAGAAAATTTGGTTTTTATAGTCCAGAAACTCCAGTCTACTAAGGCCAAAAAATTAGTCTCCATATTTCTCTATAATTCGGACAGTATTTTCATTTTAGTCTAGAGACTATGGGATGAGAGATTATATTCTATAATAAAGCTACTGCATTATTTATAGTATAAACACTAGAGTCTTAAACATTAGGCCCAACACTATAGTCTCTATAGTTCAGAGAATATAGTCTCTATAATCCAAAGACTACATTCTTTCTAGACTAGATACAACACTCAACAGACTAGACTAAAGACTAGACTATAGATTAGACTATAGACTAGACTATAGAATAGACTATAGACTAGACTATAGACTAGACTATAGACTAGACTATAGACTAGACTATAGACTAGACTATAGACTAGACTATAGACTAGACTATAGACAAGACTATAGACTAGACTATAGACTAGACTATAGACTAGATTATAGACTACACTATAGACTAGACTATAGTCTAGACTATAGACCTAGACTATAGACTAGACTATAGACTAGACTATAGACTAGACTATAAACTAGACTATAGAATAGACTATAGACTAGACTACAAATTAGACTATAGACTACACTATAGTCTAGACTATAGACTAGACTATAGACTAGACTATAGACTAGACTATAGACTAGACTATAGACTAGACTATAGACTAGACTATAGACAAGACTATAGACTAGACTATAGACTAGACTATAGACTAGACTATAGACTAGATTATAGACTACACTATAGACTAGACTATAGTCTAGACTATAGACTAGACTATAGACTAGACTATAGACTAGACTATAGACTAGACTATAAACTAGACTAGATAGACTATAGACTATACTACAATTAGACTATACTACACTAGTCTAGACTATAGACTAGACTATAGTACTAGACTATAGACTAGACTATAGACTAGACTATAGACTAGACTATAGACTAGACTATAGACTAGACTATAGACTAGACTATAGACTAGACTATAGACTAGACTATAGACTAGACTATAGACTAGCACTATAGACTAGACTATAGACTAGACTATAGACTAGACTATAGACTAGACTATAGACTAGACTATAGACTAGAATATAGACTAGACTATAGACTAGACTATAGACTAGAACTATAGACTAGACTATAGACTAGACTGTAGACTAGACTACAGACCGGACTATATACTAGACTATAGACTAAGACTATAGCTAGACTAAAGACTAGACTATAGACTAGACTGTAGACTAGACTACAGACCTAGCTATAGACTGACTACAGACCTGACTATAGACTAGAATATAGACTAGACTAAAGACTAGACTATAGACTAGACTATAGACTAGACTATAGACTAGACTAGACTAGACTAGAGACTAGACTATAGACTAGACTATAGACTAGACATAGACTAGACTATAGACTAGACTACTAGACTAGACTATAGACTAGACTATAGACTAGACTATAGACTAGACTATAGACTACACTATAGACAACACTATAGACTAGACTATAGACTAGACTAAAGACTACACTATAGACTAGACTATAGACTAGACTATAGACTAGACTATAGACTAGACTATAGACTAGACTATAGACTAGACTATAGACTAGACTATAGACTAGACTATAGACTAGACTATAGACTAGACTATAGACTAGACTATAGACTAGACTATAGACTAGACTATAGACTAGACTATAGACTAGACTATAGACTAGACTATAGACTAGACTATAGACTAGACTATAGACTAGACTATAGACTAGACTATAGACTAGACTATAGACTAGACTATAGACTAGACTATAGACTAGACTATAGACTAGACTATAGACTAGACTAGACTAGACTATAGACTAGACTATAGACTAGACTAATAGACTAGACTATAGACTAGACTATAGACTAGACTATAGACTAGACTATAGACTAGACTATAGACTAGACTATAGACTAGACTATAGACTAGACTATAGACTAGACTATAGACTAGACTATAGACTAGACTATAGACTAGACTATAGACTAGACTATAGACTAGACTATAGACTAGACTATAGACTAGACTATAGACTAGACTAGACTAGACTATAGACTAGACTATAGACTAGACTATAGACTAGACTATAGACTAGACTATAGACTAGACTATAGACTAGACTATAGACTAGACTATAGACTAGACTATAGACTAGACTATAGACTAGACTATAGACTAGACTATAGACTAGACTATAGACTAGACTATAGACTAGACTATAGACTAGACTATAGACTAGACTATAGACTAGACTATAGACTAGACTATAGACTAGACTATAGACTAGACTATAGACTAGACATAGACTAGACTATAGACTAGACTATAGACTAGACTATAGACTAGACTATAGACTAGACTATAGACTAGACTATAGACTAGACTATAGACTAGACTATAGACTAGACTATAGACTAGACTATAGACTAGACTATAGACTAGACTATAGACTAGACTATAGACTAGACTATAGACTAGACTATAGACTAGCCTATAGACTAGACTAGAACTAGACTAATAGACTAGACTATAGACTAGACTATAGACTAGACTATAGACTAGACTATAGACTAGACTATAGACTAGACTATAGACTAGACTATAGACTAGACTATAGACTAGACTATCGATAGACTATAGACTAGACTATAGACTAGACTATAGACTAGATATAGACTAGACTATAGACTAGACTATAGACTAGACTATAGACTAGACTATAGACTAGACTATAGACTAGACTATAGACTAGACTATAGAACTAGCCTATAGACTAGACATAGACTAGACTATAGACTAGACTATAGACTAGACTATAGACTAGACTATAGACTAGCCTATAGACTAGACTATAGATAGACTCTAGACTAGACTATAGACTAGACTAGACTAGACTATAGACTAGACTATAGACTAGACTATAGACTAGACTATAGACTATAAGAATAGACTAGACATAGACTAGACTATAGACTAGACTATAGACTAGACATAGACTAGACTACTAGACTAGACTATAGACTAGACTTTAGACTAGACTATAGACTAGACTAGACTAGACATAGACTAGATTATAGACTAGACTAGACTAGACATAGACTAGATTATAGACTGGACTAAAGACTAGAATATAGACTAGCCTACAAACTATACTACCACCTAGACTACAAACAACGCTATACTATAGACTATACTATATACTACACTATAGACTACACTATAGATTACACTATAGACTACACTAGAGACTACACTATAGAATACACTATAGAATACACTATAGACGAGACTACAGACTACAAACTAGGCTACAAACTATACTACAGATTAAACTAAAAACTAGAAAACAGACTAGGCTATGGACTTGAATATAGAATAGACTATAGAGTACACTGTAGACTAGGCTATGTACTAAACTATTAACCAGACTCTAGACAGATTATAAACTATACTGCAGACTATACTATACTACACTTTAGATTAGAATATAGATTAGACTATGGACTAGATAATATAATAGACTACAAACTGGACTGCAAATTAGACACTATAGAATCGAATATAGACTATTTTATAGATTAGACTATAAACTAGACTATGGCTAGACTTCTATAGCCTAGACAAAAGCTATATACTATAAACTCGACTATAGACTATATTAGACTATAGACTATAAACTAGACTATTTAGTCTAGAACATGAACTAGATTACATATTAGACCATATATTGGACTATATGCTAGACTATATACTAGATTATAGACTGGACTATGGACCTTAGACTAGTTTTACCATAGACTACAAAGTCTTGCCATCAATATCAATACAGAGCAACATGAAAAAATATATGTATATATGGTTAATACACGGACATCACTACGTCATAAAATACAACAAAAAAGCCGTATCTCTCAGTTTTCCAAAGTCATGCACTTTTTATAAACCCCAAAAGATTTGTTCGGAATTTCTAATTGCTCTCTGAATCAAATTTGTAGCTCTTGTCAAAACAAAAATTGTAAATATAAAAAATCAAAAAAAAAAACTTCATCCTTAAGATCAAAATCGCAAAAAAAAACTTTATAAAATTCGATTTTCCTTTACTTTCTTTTCTAAATAATGCGTATACTTAATATTTGTAATATCAATAAATCATTAACACGTATACGTACAGATGTCGTTTATATGAGCAGTGTAATTTCACTGCACACATATGTAATCCTTTATATGACCTTGAATTTTTCTCTCTAACTTTATCCTCTAAATTTCAGTTGTTTTTGGCATTTCTGTGCCTTAGCGGTACAGTATTGGCAGAAAGAACACCGAAATCGATTCCAGATTGTATACACGCCTTAAATGCTGCCTACGGCTATATACCACCGGAAGTGAAATTTTCCATAACACCCGGAGAGACTTCGTTGAAAACATCACCTTCTCTATCAACTTACGCGGAAAATGGTAAACTACAATATGCTTCGGTAGGCTCCTCTTCCTCGTCGTATGAAGCATCGGCTGGTATATCCGGCTATACTCATGGTGGCGGACCAGTGCAGGTCACAAAGTATGTGGCGCCGGTAAAGAGTAGTAACTATGAACCAGCCGTGACCTATGCCAAAGGTGGTTCCATTACTTATGCCGATAGATCGCCAGCCTCGAAATTTGCCGCCGTTGTACCTTCTGGAATAGAATTTAAGAATTTGGTTACTCCCACTATTAGCAACAAGAAATCGGGTAATACCTATTTACCACCGGTAAATACCAAAGTAGAAACCTATCAAAGTCCTGGTTATACTTATAGTAAATCTACTCCTGGTATTACAAAAACAGCTACTTATACCACTACAGGTGGTGGTTCTTTGGATCTGAGCAAATTTGGAGGAGATTTAACGAAACTTGGTTTTAGTTCCCCGGCTATAACGACAAAAATTGAATCATTTACTTCACCTGGCTATACGTTTTCCAAACAGACACCGGGCTACTCTAAAATCGAAACCTATACAACGGGTGATTATGCTAAAGCTGGAAATTTGGAATCAATATTTTCGAGTAGTGCTTATAATCCATTTGCGGGTGCAATAAGCTATGCGCCTAAGGTTACCTATGGGGCGCCGACTTTAACCAAACTATCCGCTGTAACAGCCCACAGTAATTTGGCTTCGTTTTCGGCGCAACCCCTTTTTGCTAAAGCTTTAACACCCAGCCCTGCTGCAGTTTATGCTCCCAGTTTGTCGCGAAGTTATTTGCCTAGTTTGCAGACGACAGACTATACTAAGACTTTAAGTGGAGGCCTCTCTCATCAGTATGTTTCAAAACCCGCTCCTGTTATTACCACCCAATATGTTTCAGCGCCTGCTAAAGTGGCCACATATGCTGCACCAGTTGCTTCTCACTATATCTCAGCGCCCGTTAAAGTAGCCACCTATGCAACGGGAAATGCTCATTTGGGACAATATGTGGCACCTGCAGTAGCCAAAGTACAAGCTGCTTATGTAGCCCCTAGTGTGGCCAAGGTGGCCTCCTATTCTGCCCCCACACTGGTTTCCGGTTATGCTGCACCTGCCGTGGCCAAAGTAGCAACTTATGCCGCACCTAGTTCTGCTCACATTAGCTCTTCGGGGGGAGCAATTTCTCATCAATATGTCTCAAAGCCCGCCTCACATATCACCGGTTATGCAGCGCCCGCTGTGGCTAAAGTTGCTACTTATTCCGCTCCGGCCATAGCCAAGTTGCCACCTATAGTGGTGGTGATTCGTTGCATTATTCTTCTGGTGGTGGACTTTCCCATCAATATATCTCCAAACCTGCTGCTCAAGTAACAACTTATGCTGCACCTGCAGTTGCCAAAGTTGCCACATATTCGGGCGAAAGTTTAGGCCACTTTAGTTCCAGTGGTGGTGTTTCACATCAATATGTTTCGAAACCATCGGCGCATATTACAGGCTATGCGGCACCAGCAGTGGCCAAGGTAGCCTCCTATGCAGCACCAGCAAAAGTTGCCACCTATGCCGCTCCCGCCGTAGTTAAGGTTGCCAGTTATTCGGAAGGCAGTTCAGCACATTTCAGTTCCAGTGGAGGTGTTGGTGGTGGCGCCGTTTCACATCAATATGTTTCCAAACCAGCGGGTCATATTACCGGCTATGCTGCTCCAGCTGTAACTAAGGTTGCCAGCTATTCCGAAGGCAGTTCAGGACATTTAAGTTCCAGTGGTGGAGGTGGCGCTTTATCGCATCAATAGTTTCGAAACCAGCAGGTCATATTACCGGCTATGCTGCTCCAGTTGTAACCAAGGTGGCCAGTTATGCCGCCCCAGTTGTTAAGGTTGCCAGCTATTCGGAAGGCAGTTCAGCTCATTTCAGTTCCAGTGGTGGAGGTGGCGCTATATCACATCAATATGTTTCAAAACCTACTGGACATATTTCGGGCTATGCTGCCCCAGCTGTAGCCAAGGTTGCCACTTATGCAGCCCCAGCTGTAGCTAAAGTTGCCACCTATGCCGCACCGGCTGTGGTTACCAGTTATTCAGGAGGTGGAGGAGCCCATTATAGTTCTAATGGTGGCGGCGGTGCTGTTTCTCATCAATATGTTTCGAAACCCACCGCCCATATAACCGGTTATGCAACACCCACCGTAGCTAAAGTTACTCCTGTTGTTGCTGCTCCAGCAGTTGCAACCTATGCTGCCCCATCTGTAGTTAAGGTTGCCAGCTATTCTGGCGGAAATTCAGCTCATTTCAGTTCCAGTGGTGGAGGTGGTGCGGTATCACATCAATATGTTTCAAAACCCACAGCTCACATAACTGGTTATGCCGCGCCAGCTGTAGCCAAGGTTGCCAGCTATGCTGCCCCTGTAGTGACAGCACCTGCTGTCGCTAAGTTGCCACCTATGCTGCCCCGTCTGTTGTTAAGGTTGCCAGCTATTCGGAGGGTAGTTCAGCCCATTTCAGTTCCAGTGGTGGTAGTGGCGCCATATCACATCAATATGTTTCAAAACCAACTTCTCATATTACAGGTTATGCCGCCCCAGCTGTTGCTAAGGTAGCAACCTATTCTGCTCCAGTTGTAGCTGCTCCTGCAGTTGCCAAAGTTGCTACCTATGCTGCCCCGGCTGTGGTTAAGGTTGCCAGCTATTCCGAAGGTAGTTCAGGGCATTTTAGTTCCAGTGGTGGTGGAGGTGGAGCCGTATCCCATCAATATGTTTCTAGACCAGCCACCCATATAACTACTGGCTATGCAGCACCTGCTGTTGCCAAAGTTGCCACCTATGCGGCTCCTGCTGTAGCAGCGCCCTCTGTTGCTAAGGATGGAGGTTATACCTATGAAGCCCCTGCAGTAGCTGTTAAGTTGGGTGCAGGTTATACGCAGGAAAGTTTAGGACACTTTAGATCCAGTAGTGGCTATGCGGCTCCTGCTGTAACCAAAGTGGCCACTTATGCCGCACCCGCTGTAGTTAAGGTTGCCGGCTATTCGGGAGACAGTTCCGCCCATTACACTACCAGTGGAGGTGGTGGTGGCGCTGTATCACATCAATATGTTTCAAAACCCGCCACACATATAACCGGTTATGCTGGTCCCGCTGTAACCAAGATAGCAACGTATTCAGCTGCTCCCGTTATTGCCAAACCTTCTACTCTCCTAAACGCTCCAGTTGTTTCCAAAGTTGCCACCTATCAAACACCAGCTGTAGTTAAAGTATCGTCCTATTCCGGTGGTGAAAGTTTAAGCCAATACGTTTCGGGTGGTGGTGGTGCACATGGTGCCGTTTCCCATCAATATATTTCCAAACAAGCTCCTCAATCAATAGCTTATGCAGCTCCTGCTACAGCTAAGGTAGTATCCTATGCTGCTCCTGCTATTGTAGCAGCACCTGCTGCCGTTAAAGTCGCTTCTGCCCATTATACTTCCTCCTCGGGTGGTGCCGTTTCTCATCAATATGTTTCCAAACCCGCCACCCATATTTCAGGCTATGGTGCTCCCGCTGTAGCTAAGCTAGCTACCATAACAACACCTACTCTAACCCAATATGTTTCAGCTCCGGCTGTTGCTAAAGTAGCAACCTATAATGGGGAAAGTTCTTTAAAGTTAACCTCGTCCGGAGGTGGCGCTGTATCACATCAATATGTTTCCAAACCAGCAGGCCATATAACAGCATATGCAGCCCCAGCTGTATCCAAAGTTGCCACCTATATTGAACCTCAATTGGTATCAAAGCCTGCGCTTCAGTTAACCGGTTATGCTGGCCCCGCAATAGCAAAAGTAGCCACTTATTCTGGTCAATCGGCTACTCATATTTCCTCCGGAGGCGGCGGTGCTGTTTCACATCAATATGTCTCCCAACCCGGCTCTGCCATCACTAAAGTTGCCTCCTATAGCTCACCTGCTGTAACGCATATAGCTAGCCAACCTTCAACAGTGAACAAATATGAATCCCGAGTCCAGTATGCTTCACAGCCTGCGGTAGCCAAGGTTTCAGGTTATCAGCCCATTGCTACTATTGGTAAATATGAGACCAGTGCTGGTGGGGCCGTATCTCATCAATATGTTTCGAAAGCAACACCACAAGTTTCGGTTTTAGCCGCTCCCGCAGTAGCTAAAGTAGCCACTTATAGTACTCCGACTCTGAGCCATTATGCTGTCCAGCCTGCCTTAACTAAAGTGGCTACATATCAAACCGGTGGTCCGGCCATTGCGAAAGTTGCGACCTACTCTGCCCCAGCATTAACACATTACTCCAGCGGCCCGTCTATAGGCAAACTAGCAACAATTTCTTCTAGCTCGCACAGTTCCGGAGCAATATCACATCAATATGTTTCTAAACCAGCCTTAGGCGGTTATGCCGCTCACGCTTATGCTCAATATGCTACCGGACCCGCTTCATACTCCTACGGCTCTTTACATACGCCCCATGTTAATCCTCTCTTTACTAGTTCCAGTATTGCTCGTTATGGCTCCAGTGGCGCAGTATCCCAACAATATTTAGCCAAACCGGTACAGTTAAGTGGCAAGCTATCAGGTTATACTACAGGACCCGTTTTAGGCAAGGTAGTTTCACAAAGTGCAGGTGCAGTGTCACATCAGTATGTCTCTAAACCAGCGGTGGCCACAACTTTGATCTCCGGACCTGCACACGCTAAAGTAACTTATGGTACCAAATTAATCTCCTCCTCAGGCGGTCTTGGTACGCATCAACTACTTAGCCAACCTTTACAAACTGTACAACTAACAGCTCCCGCTAAACTTTCTGTATCTTCTTTGCATGGTTCTGCAATTCATGGTTCGACTGGTCATGGGGGCGCAATATCTCATCAATATGTCTCGAAACCTGTGCACGGTATTGCTGTAGCTAAAACTGGCTCACTTGCGGCTCCTCTAGTGGTAGGTGGTTCCAGTGGCAAATATTCAGCTTTAAGTTCTGGTTATATTACAAGCGGTATTGGGGCTCATGGTGCAGCCATTTCTCCTCAATATATTTCTCAGCCTTCGCTACTAAAAGCGGGTGGCTCTTAGCTGCCGGTCATTTAGTGGCCAAACCTTTGGCCGCTCCCGCCCTACATTTAACAACTGGGCATGGTGCTGCCTTTTCTTCACAACATGTAGCTGGACATGGTCTGGGTCTAGGTCTAACAAATCTACATGGCGGCTCTTTAGCTGCTGGTCACCAGGGTATATTGGGTGGTAGGTTTTATCATTTAACAAAAACATCAACCAATATTTTACTCCCATTTTCCACAGGTTACTATGGTGCCATTTCTTTGGGTCATGGTGGCACCTCTCCTGCCATAACCGGCTATCAGGGCGTTTTAGGTTTAGCTACACATGGCCGAGCTCCTTTAGGCTCCATTCATGGCCTTAAAGGGATCCACGCCTCTTCAATACCAACAGGTCATGGTGGTTTACCTTTGGGTTCATTAGGTCCCCTGGGTCCTTTGGCTGGCTATCAACATGGTGTCGGCGGTATAGGTCCATTGGGTGCTAATTTCTATCGTTATGCTCCTGCTGTACCCGCCCTCCGTTCACATACCTTAACACCGGCGGCCTTTTTGAGAAATACACCCATTATAAAGCCGGCCAAAATTAAATTGATGACTGAACAGCATTTAGAATATTTTGTAAGTATGAGATAGGGAGAAATTATGGACTATAGACGATAGTTTCTAAAATGGAACGGATTAAAGAATAGACTATGGATTATATTATAGAATTGACTATAGTCTGGACTATAGAATATACTATAGTCTGGACCATAGAATATACTATAGTCCGGACTAAAGAATAGACTATAGTCTGGACTATAGTATAGACTATAGAATAGACTATAGAATAGACTACAGTCTGGACTATAGTATAGACTATAGTCTGGACTATAGAATAGAATATAGTCTGGACTATAGTATAGACCATAGTCTGGACTATAGAATAGACTATAGTCTGGACTAAAGTATAGACTATAGCCTGGATTATAGAATAGTATAGAATATTGTCTGGACTGTATAGAATAGTCTGGACTATAGACTAGACTATAGTCGGGACTATAGAATAGTATAGACTATAGTCTGGACTGTATAGACTATAGTCTGGACTAAAGTATAGACTATAGTCTGGACTGTATAGACTATAGTCTAGACTATAGAATAGACTATAGAATAGACTATAGTCTAGACTATAGAATAGACTATAGAATAGACTATAGTCTAGACTATAGAATAGAGTATAGTCTAGACTATAGAATAGACTATAGTCTAGACTATAGAATAGACTATAGTCTGGACTATAGAATAGACTATAGTCTGGACTATAGAATAGACTATAGTCTGAACTATAGAATAGACTATAGTCTGGACTATAGAATAGACTATAGTCTGGACTATAGAATAGACTATAGTCTTGACTATAGAATAGACTATAGTCTGGACTATAGAATAGACTATATGCTAGTCTATAGAATAGAATATAATCTGGACTGTAGAATAGAATATAGTCTGGACTATAGACTAGACTATATTCTGGACCTTAGAGTAAACTGTACTCTGGACTAGAGAATAGACTATAGTCTGGACTGTAGAATAGACTATAGTTTGAACTATAGAATCGACTATGGACTGGGTTGTAGAACAGACTATAGAGAGTAGTCTATAGTCTGGACTATAGTATAGTCTATAGTCTGGACTATAGTATAGTATAGATTAAAATCTGAAATATAAACATACCTTTCTTTCAGAATGATCATCCTCGCTATGCTTTCGAATATGGCGTCAATGATCCCACAACCGGTGATATAAAACATCAGCGTGAAGAGCGTGATGGTGATGTAGTGAGAGGTGAATATTCCCTAGTGGAACCAGATGGTAATGTACGCACTGTTAAATACTATGCTGATTGGGAAAACGGGTTTCCATGCTCAAGTAATAAATAGTCGAGATGCCGTAAAGACTCTTACTAAACGTACTGCCAGTAAATCATAAAGTTAGTATTTATTTAAAGATTTTTTTAATTTAAGCAAAACAATTTCTGAAAAATTTTCTTTTATCTTGCAGTTAAGTAGTCACCTTTAGATTCTCAATTACATATTTTCTTTTCTTTAGCCATAGTAAATGTCTCTCTCATTAATGCCATGGAGGATTTTAGAAAAAGAAAACAAAATCTTTTGCTAAAACAGTTTTTGCTGTTATGAACTTTTGACTCTACTATATAGTATTGCATGCCATCCATTTCAAAACTCTCAATTCATTCATATTTTTTATTATATTCTTCCTAATCATGATAAGTGTTTAGCAAACAATACTTAACCTGGGGCCGTCGTCGCACACTTATGTTTGTAACGGTTCTTTTTTTCCTTAATAATTAATCAATCCAGGCCTGTACAGTCTCGAGCCGTTAACATAAGTCCACCAACAACATTAGCATTTTGTTATATTATTTATATTCATTCATACTATATTTTTATATATCATTTTCCATACAAAACTTTACTTAACTTTTTTTAAACGGGGAATTAATTTCTTTTTATTTTCAAAATTTGGGTTTTTTAAATTGGTGCTAATTATTAATATTTTTTGGTTATGTATATTTTTTGTGTAAATTTTGTTTATTTAGTACAATATTGCTGCAGAAAAAAAGAAGTAATAATTTGTTATGTGATAAATGAAAGTGTCATACATTATCATCTCTCTTTACGTATTTTTTTATTATTTGTGTATAATTTAATATTTTTTTTTATTTCTCATGGTCTGTCTTTTTCTTAATTTTTGTAAATATTTTCTTAAGTTAAGAATTGTTAAAACTAAAACAAGAAAAACGAATAAAACAAAAACGAAATTAGATGTTAAAAAAATTGCTAGTGTTCTTTTATTTTTGGGCTCACACTGTAAAGTTAATCAAAAGATGGACCAGACTATAATCTGACCTACATAGAACAAAAACTGAACTAGAACTGAACTAGAACTGACTAGAACTGAACTAGAACTGAACTAGAACTGACTAGAACTGAACTAGACTAGAACTGAACTAGAACTGAACTAGAACTGAACTAGAACTGAACTAGAACTGAACTAGAACTGAACTAGAACTGAACTAGAACTGAACTAGAACTGAACTAGAACTGAACTAGAACTGAACTAGAACTGAACTAGAACTGAACTAGAACTGAACTAGAACTGAACTAGAACTGACTAGAACTGAACTAGAACTGAACTAGAACTGAACTAGAACTGAACTAGAACTGAACTAGAACTGAACTAGAACTGAACTAGAACTGAACTAGAACTGAACTAGAACTGAACTAGAACTGAACTAGAACTGAACTAGAACTGAACTAGAACTGAACTAGAACTGAACTAGGACTGAACTAGAACTGAACTAGAACTGTACTAGACTGTAACTAGAACTGAACTGAACTAGAACTAGACTGAACTAGAACTGAACTAGAACTGAACTAGAACTGAACTAGAACTGAACTAACTGAACTAGAACTGAACTAAACTGAACTAGAACTGAACTAGAACTGAACTATAACTGAACTAGAACTGAACTAGAACTGACTAGAACTGAACTAGAACTGAACTAGAACTGAACTAGAACTGAACTAGAACTGAACTAGAACTAGAACTGATAGACTGAACTAGAAGAACTGAACTGAACTAGAACTGACTAGAACTGAACTAGAACTGAACTAGAACTGAACTAGAACTGAACTAGAACTGAACTAGAACTGAACTAGAACTGAACTAGAACTGAACTAGAACTGAACTAGAACTGAACTAGAACTGAACTAGAACTGAACTAGAACTGAACTAGAACTGAACTAGAACTGAACTAGAACTGAACTAGAACTGAACTAGAACTGAACTAGAACTGAACTAGAACTGAACTAGAACTGAACTAGAACTGAACTAGAACTGAACTAGAACTGAACTAGAACTGAACTAGAACTGAACTAGAACTGAACTAGAACTGAACTAGAACTGAACTAGAACTGAACTAGACTGAAGAACTGAACTAGAACTGAGCTACAACTGAACTACAACTGAACTAGAACTAAACTAAACTGAACTAGAACAGAATAGAACTGAACTAGAACTGAACTAGAACTGAACTAGAACTGAACTAGAACTGAACTAGAACTGAACTAGAACCTAGAACTGACTAGAACTGAACTAGAATGAACTAGAACTGAACTAGAACTGAACTAGAACTGAACTAGAACTGAACTAGAACTGACTAGAACGAACTAGACTGAACTAGAACTGAACTAGAAATGAACTAGAACTGAACTAGAACTGAAACTAGAACTGAACTAGAACTGAACTAGAACTGAACTAGAAACTGAAACTAGAACTGAACAGGACCTGAACTAGAACTGAACTAGAACTGAACTAGAACTGAAACTACTGAACTAGACTGAACTAGAACTGAACTAAACTGAACTAGAACTGAACTAGACTGAACTAGAAACTGAACTAGAACTGAACTAGAACTGAACTAGAACGACTAGAACTGAACTAGAACTGAACTAGAACTGAACTAGAACTGAACTAGAACTGAACTAGAACTGAAACTAGAACTGAACTAGAACTGAACTAGAACTGAACTAGAACTGAACTAGAACTGAACTAGAACTGAACTAGAATGAACTAGAACTGAACTAGAACTGAACTAGAACTGAACGAGAACTGAAACTAGAACTGAACTAGAACTGAACTAGAACTGAACTAGAACTGAACTCGACACTGAACTAGAAACTGAACTAGACCTGAACTAGAACTGAACTAGAACTGAACTAGAACTGAACTAGAACTGAACTAGAACTGAACTAGAACTGAACTAGAACTGAACTAGAACTGAACTAGAACTGAACTAGAACTGAACTAGAACTGAACTAGAACTGAACTAGAACTGAACTAGAACTGAACTAGAACTGAACTAGAACTGAACTAGAACTGAACTAGAACTGAACTAGAACTGAACTAGAACTGAACTAGAACTGAACTAGAACTGAACTAGAACTGAACTAGAACTGAACTAGAACTGAACTAGAACTGAAACTAGAACTGAACTAGAACTGAACTAGACTGAACTAGAACTGAACTAGAACTGAACTAGAACTGAACTAGAACTGAACTAGAACTGAACTAGAACTGAACTAGAACTGAACTAGAACTGAACTAGAACTGAACTAGAACTGAACTAGAACTGAACTAGAACTGAACTAGAACTGAACTAGACTGAACTAACTGAACTAGAACTGAACTAGAACTGAACTAGAACTGAACTAGAACTGAACTAGAACTGAACTAGAACTGAACTAGAACTGAACTAGAACTGAACTAGAACTGAACTAGAACTGAACTAGAACTGAAAACTGAACTAGAACTGAACTAGAACTGAACTAGAACTGAACTAGAACTGAACTGAACTGAACTAGAACTGAACTAGAACTGAACTAGAACTGAACTAGAACTGAACTAGAACTGAACTAGAACTGAACTAGAACTGAACTAGAACTGAACTAGAACTGAACTAGAACTGAACTAGAACTGAACTAGAACTGAACTAGAACTGAACTAGAACTGAACTAGAACTGAACTAGAACTGAACTAGAACTGAACTAGAACTGAACTAGAACTAGAACTGAACTAGAACTGAACTAGAACTGAACTAGAACTGAACTAGAACTGAACTGAACTGAACTAAACTGAACTAGAACTGAACTAGAACTGAACTAGAACTGAACTAGAACTGAACTAGAACTGAACTAGAACTGAACTAGAACTGAACTAGAACTGAACTAGAACTGAACTAGAACTGTACTAGAACTGTACTAGAACTGAACTAGAACTGAACTAGATCAGAACTGAACTAGTTCTAAACTAGAACTGAACTAGTTCTAAACTAGAACTGAACTAGAACTGATCTTGAGCCGAACAAGATTTGAAATAAAACTGAACTAGTATTCTTTTAAGAACTCTCACAAGAAGTATCCTTAATTCCGTCTAACGGTACAAATTATCCCACTTTCATTTGGCACTTTTGCGCCTTCCACAAAAAAGACTCAATTGAAAGTATATAATTTTTTTTGTTTAGTTTTTATGTATTTTTTCCATCATGGTAAAATGTAAAATTATTGGGTTTTTTTGTTGGAGTTTTTTTATAAAATCAAAAAACACATCTTACTAAGTTACTTAATGAGCTTTGGAAGCCAAACGCTTGTCACGTTCTTCAGCAATGCTCAATTTAACACCCTTGCCCTTAGGCAAACTAATGTAAGGCTTGTTGCCCTTGCCAATGATGAAGACATTGGTCAAACGGGTAGCGAATACATGACCTTGAGTATCCTTAACATGCACAATATCGAAGGAGCCGGGATGTCTTTCACGGTTGACAACGGTACCGACACGACCCAAATTTCTACCTCCAGTGATCATGCACAAGTTGCCTGTAAATATGCAAAAGAAAAAAGTAGGAAATTAAATAAAAATCCAAAGAAATTGAAAAGTTTTATTTTGATTTAGATAAAAATGTAATTGAACTAAAATGTTATGACAGTATCATTTAAAAGATAAAGCCATGACCGTGTTGCAAAAATTGCTTTAGGCCTGCTTTTGATCCTTGCCAATGTGGTTTAATAATAATCATCAAACAAGGACTTCGATCATGCCAGAGAGGGGCGTTGCTTTTTTGTTTGTAAACTTACCGGAATCGAACTTGATGTAATCGGTGATTTTGCCGGTGGCAATATCAACTTGTACGGTATCGTTAGCCTTGATCAAGGGATCGGGGTAACGGATGGTGCGACCGTCATGGGTAACAACGAATGGTACACCCTTGGCGCCCAATTGTGTCTTGCGGACCTTGCACAATTTGTACTGTAATTGAAAGAAAGTAAACGTTATTTTATATGTTTTCGAAAAAACAAAATAAAAAAAAAATAATCTTCTGAAATAGTTTTTGGGAGGGAAGTGTGCTG